GAGTGGCTACTGCTGCAGGGGGGGGAAAGGGGGGTCATCGGCTTTTAGATATTCCGGCCGGCATAGGGCCTTTAGTTACCTAGATAATTAGGAGGCCGAGAGCTAAGTTGGACAACTTGCCTTATTATTACTCCCTCCACGAGGCAAACCACAGTGTGCACCAACCTCTCTACGCGAAATATCACCACCAGAACGCGACCTTTGTCCCAACATTATATTGAGCTGATGACGCCGCGTGTCTAGTGGAAACTCGTGTCAAGGTCTTTTCATCTCAAGGCTGTGCTCTGAGCACGCTTTGGGAAGGAAAGACACAGTCATTGTGACTTCTCCGATGAGTATCGCGTTAACAGCCACGGCTGCTCCAGTCGTTATCGACCTGACACTCGACACGCCAACGACGCTTGCGCCTTTGGCGTCCCCTTATGACCATGGCGACCCTACGCAGCCGTTGCAATTGACTTCGCAACAGCCGCCTGCGAAGAGGCGACGCGTGGAAAGTGACGGCCCTGGGGCAGAGGATGTGGAGATACGTATGCGGGACTATCTTCTTCCACATGTGCGAAAAGCTGTTGATGAGCTGTCACGGGATGCTTATCTTGTAGACAATATTGTAATCGAGGTAGGTGGCTGTAGGGGGACATTGCTTGCTGGCAAAGAGTTTCTATAGTGAAGAAGACGGTCTAACAAAGTGCCCGTAGGCTGTCACTACTTTGCTTAAGAGCACAAGATTTCGAGAAAAGGTTCAACTTAACAATGGACTGCTTATTGCGGAGGATAGAGCGGATATCGAGGGACTAGTTTCCCAGGCTGTCCGGCAACTGGCAGGTCTTCCTGTAGGTTTATTGGAGCCAAATGTGCAGGACCCAGTTCAGCCACTGACATTGTCTTAGCAATACAGAAGACCGCAACCGCAACCGATCAAGGAAGAAGCTCCATCGCTAGCACCGATCGCACCCAAACTCACACTCGCAGCGAAGCAGAGGGTTTTCCAGCGTCTCGAGTCCGCTCAGCCGATTTCGAAACCCGATACAGGCCCAACGCGGGTTCCTAGGCCGCGAGTTGGACGACGATATGTCGTACCGAATTCAGGTGACGACTTGCCAACTGTCAGTACATGGTCCCAGCTTCCACGGCGGCCGTATTTGCATTATTCGGCCCGGCAAGACATTGCCCAAGGGGTGAACCGTCCTGTCAATGTAGCACGTGACAGGGTGCAGTTACCTGCAGTTTATCATGCCGACTTTTCCTCGCTTGAGATTGCAGAAATTGTGAAAATTGTTGGACAGCACCTTTTACAGCACATTCCGCGGACGAGGGAGGGCCTAGAGCAGATATTACAACATCATGATGTTCCCCTAATTATCGGGGACTCAATAAGCGGACGAACAAGGCAAGATATTTACAACTTGTGCTCCGACATGTATGCTGGCAAAGCCAACCAGCCAGGTAATTTACGGGTGCTGTCTCTGGATGAAGTCAGCCCCGAGAGAAGAGCAAGGAACCGACGTGCCAATCGCTTGCCAGCATTGCTCTTGGCTCGGGAAATGGAGGGAAACATTGGGTTCGGCCGAATGAGACGGTATGAGAATTTCCAAAATGAGTTTCAAAAATGCCATGAAGACGGCCTGTCACTCATTGCCGAGTTCACCAACTGTGCGGGAGACATTTCCGCCTTGTCTTGGGTGCCTGATGGTAATATTATATGTGGTACCACGGCACATTCGGATGCACATAACCAGCAGTACAACAAGCCAGGAAATCTACTACTCTGCTCCACAGAGGGAGGTACGCTGCGCGCCTTTCCGGACCATCGAATACCACGGCCAGTTGTGGAAAAGGGAGAGAATTCGACGGAAGCCATGCGCCAGAGCCAAGACCCGTGGCTGTACTCGTCTGTCGTGTCGACAGACTACGACGAGAAGAATGGTCGAGCCTTCACCTCGAGCTTTGACAAAACCGTCAAGGTGTGGAGCGTAGCTGAAGATGGAACTTCCATGGAGGCCATTGCAACTTGGCACCACCAAGGCAACGTCAATTTCGTTGTTGCCGCCAAGGACGGGTCCGGACGAGTGGCTACTGCTGCAGATGTCCCTACCCAAGCAATTCGCATTTATAATGTTGATCCGAACAACGTACAAGACAGTAATTACTACACCATATCTTGCACTCGAACCGACGCTGATGGATCAGACAAATGGGCTTATTGCCCTGCTACTATGCAATGGGGACAAACACCTGGAACGCACCATCTGCTGGCCATTGGCTACTCCCCTCGCAGCTTTACCGGCGACGACGCCGATATTCCAGTGGACAAGATTCACAGTGGCGAGATTGTACTTTGGGACGCCGAGCGACGATGCCGAGTTCCTGTTCTGACCGTCACAACGGCCAACGTTTTCGAAATCGTGTGGCATCCCACCCTTCCCGTTTTCATCGTTGCTACCTCGCCGTCTGGACTCATTACCGAGCACGGCGTGCGCACACATGTCCACATCTTTCAACTGGACAGGGACCGCGAGGATGGTGCGTACAGCGAGTATCAAAAACTCGATTGCTACGCCTCTGATATCAACGAGCTCACCATTATGCCAAATTCTTTGTGCCACTCCTATATCTCAGCTGCCTGTACAGATGGACGCGTCTACATCTGGGACACGGCACAGGGCGATCGACCCATCCACATCCTCAAGCACGGGGAACCCCTGGGCGCCGTCATCTGCGACCGAGAAAAGGAAGACGAAGGCGTCAAGTTTACCGCCTGGGGAACAACACCAGACCGCTTCTACACAGGCTCAAGTGATGGCATCGTCAAAGTGTGGAACGTGCGACGGAAGCGCCGTCCGTTTGTAAGGAATCTCCTCGAGGCACCCGGCCCCATAACGTGCGGCGTCTTTTCGCCAAACCACAACAAGCTCGTCGTCGGCGACGCAACAGGCCGCGTCTTCGTCTTCTCCGTAGATGACCGAGACGAGATGGACCCGCACTTCATCACAATCCCAGGCACGAATCGCCGCGTTCGCCGTCCAAAGCCGTTCATCCCCCACCCAGAACCCGAACCTCCAACGACGTCCTCCCCCTTCCCCGCTTCCACTCCATCAGATGTTTCCATTGCTCAGTACTCGCGAGACCGATACCTGTCTTCAAATAGTCTCATCCTCCATCCAAACCCGGTCATCGGCGCCGTCCAAGGCCCCGCGTACCACTCCACAGGACTCTTCCGCCTCGACGCCCACGCCTACTTTGACCCGCAGGGCCCTTTGCTCCCCGAATTCGAGAGGAATCAACGCGCAGCGATGCAGGCCAGTCTCGGTCCTGAAACAAGGTCTATCCGCAGGTTGAAAGAACCTCCTGTGCAAACGTGGGTTGAAAAATCGCTTCATGATGAGAACGTGGCCAAGGATTTTGACTCGCGTTCCTTGGACAACTGGTCCTTTTGCCAGTTGGTCAATCTTGGAGTCCGCTTGAATATGGATGGACATGAAGGGTGGGAGTTTGTGTACGAAGAGATGCCTGTGGACACGGATTGATTCCACCAACCGATTGATGGATCGATGTTGTTTAGCCCCGACTGGTGCTTGTACTCAAATATACAGCTGGAGTTGTAGGCCTCATATCCCTTGATTTAGAGGTAGCTATGGGTAATGATGCTATTCCGTGCACAAACACTACATGAGCAAAAGCTGGGAGTATACGTGACGCGCTGACGATGCTCATGCTTTGTATGCTGGAATCACATGGGTTCAGTCATGGTTACTCACGCAAAACGTACACACATTTCGTCTATTTATGCGCCCAACGGCGCTTCTACAACTAATAAACACAAAATAAAAGACTCTAGCTTCAAGGTCCATGATCATACAGATTCTTGTCCGTTTAAGCACAACCATTTACCCTTCTTTTGCATCGCGTATTTTCATCAAGTGTAAGAGAAAAAAGACCTTGATTCGACATCCATGGAAATCTGTTGCGGAATAACCCCGCGTAGCAAGATTCTGCTGATACTAATGAAAAGCCCTGAATTAACGCCGCTCAATGCTTAGCTGAGACCGAGTCACCGGTCAATTTTTCAACATAAGTCTTTGCCCTACACGATGTTAGTACAAGCTAGTGAAAGGATTTGTAGACTGCAGACGACTTACATGTCACCAAAGGCAACCATGCAAATGGTTTGCCAGACACCGAGACCAATTCGTGGAGTGACACCGCGGTACAGGCCCTTGATGCCGTTGTTGGCGTAGATGTATCGGAAGGTGTTGCCGACCGTCATCTTCTTGGGTCGGTTAGGATCCTCCTTTTTGCTCTGCATCTCAACGCGGATAACCTCAATGGGCTGGTTCCAGGCGCTGAGACCACCACCGAGACCAGAGGCGATGACCTTCTCCACGGCAGACAGCTTGTCCTTCTCGGACTTGCCAGTGGCGGAGCGGATCCAGGTCTCGGCCAGACGGCTGAGACCGAAGCGGGAGCCCCAGTTGGTCATTTGACGAATGGCGACGGCGTTGACACCCTTGTTGATACCCCGGATACCTTCCTTGCGGTAGATGTCCATAAAGGTCTGGAAGGTGGACTGCGGCTTGACGCCGGCAGCCGCCATCTTGTGCTTGGTGATCTCGACCGTCTTCATGCAGGTGCAGAAACCCATGGTGGCATAGGCCTGGGCAACACCGCCAGTGATGCCGCCGAGGATACCACCGCCGAACTCGGAGGCGCCAGCAGCGCGAGCATAGTACTCGGCCTCGGAGGCGACGAAGAGGAGAACGGCGCCCTTGGTCGAGGCTTCGATCCAAGCCCAGGGGATGAGGCCTTGGTAGACTATGTTGCGCAAAGAACCGGCCGTGTTAGCATGTGATTCGGCGAGATGTATGGGGGGTCGACGAGGGCATCGACATTGGCTCCAAAAAGGGGCAGAGCAAAGTAGAGAAGAGAGAAAAGGGAACAAACATACAGCCGAAAGGACCGCCACGGGCCCAGATACGTCCCAAAGCCGTGGCGAAGCCGTCACCACGATTGGCGGCCATGGTGGTCTTGACGACCTCGAGAGGCTGACCGAGGGTGGTGACCTCGAACATGTTGAGGCCGGCACCGAGGAGCAAGTTGGAGAACTTGATGGGTTTCTTCTCCAACTTTTGGGGCTCCCCGATGGAGGCAGGAAGAGTAGCGCTCGCGACCATGGCTCTGGGAGTTTTGTTTGATTCAAAGGGGCCCTGACCAAGGGAATAGGGTGCTTCTTCGCGGAGGAGAGGTTGGAGAGCGGGCGGGAAGATAGATGGTAGGAAGGTGGAGAGAGACGGAGAAGCGCGAGTTGGTGGTTATGCTGAGTCAGAGGGACTATAACTCAAGCTATTACCCCGTACGGTTGCGGCTGCGGCTGTGCTGCTGCTCCTATTGCTTCTGACCGAACGGGACCGGGCAAAGACGACGTTTAGACAGGGCAAAAAGTGGAGGATGCACCTCCGAAGATCGAACAGCGGGATTGGATGGAGAATGTACGGAGTAGATAGACTTGAGATGCGCGCAAGTGGATTGCGAGATGGGGAAGGCAATGTTGGAAGGTTTGGGATGACCGAGGCAGGCTGTTGGCGCGTTGGCGGCCCGTGAGTGGCAGGTCCGTGAATGCCCGGAGAGCGAGAGAGACTGGCCAGGCCCAAGTTAGCAGAGATGGCCCTGGCCCAGGGATCCATTCTTGATCCATTACTGTACCTGCTGACTTCAGTAGTACTCCGAAGAGAGGCCTTATCGGTCCGTGTCTTGTTGGAAGGGAAGGGGGCGATTCGAGTGCGACGACGAGAAGAGTATCAGGAATGACAAGACAGCAATGTGGCAATGCAAGTAAAGGGGAGAGATAATTCGAGAGCAAATACGGAGTACGTCGTAGTAGAAAAACAGATGAACAGGCGACCTTGTCAGATCCGAACTCGGATAGTGATTTTTGTTGACGGGGCCCAGGACCAAGTACACAGAACGGGTCAGCAGTACGCAACAAGATGCAGTATATACACACGTACCCCGTACCCGGTACATTGTTGCTGCTGCTAATGTGCCTGCCTCTCAATTGATTTTATCCGCCAGCAGCCACTCCCGTCCGCACCTGTCTTCTAGCTCAATTCAATGTTCACAAAAAAAAAAAAAAAGGGTCGAGGCGTTCTTCTCTCTAACAATGACAGCGACGTATGAATCCGCATATCCCCTCCACCAATTCCATCGCAGTCATCCCAACAACCCTCAACGCTGGTTCAACAGCCAGGTGCATTAACTGTGGTGGACCCCTCCCGTACCAGCCATGGGGCTCCCCAATGTCTCAACCACTCGATTGTTGAGGAAAAGTTGCAAGGCACCGACTGTCAATGTCAACACTATTTCGGAGTACTACGGAGCACGAACTTTCAAGTCTCAATCCCAGAACCCGCACGTGTGTCGCAATCGGTGAGCATTTCACATCTGCGCTGCCCTTGCGCAGTTGGCTCGTATATGTGCACTTCTGCTGTGCTAAGAGTGCAGGGCAGTCCCCTACAGCCATGATAAGTTACTTGTAGGGCTACAGCTCCCTACTCTGGAACAGTCGTGCGCAAAGCGCCTGGCGCAGACAAGCAAAGACGCTAAGGGTGAGCCAATCAAGAAGCGATCTGGCGCGTGTTCTCTTGGCTCGTCCGCGATGCAGCTCAGCTCGACAAATGCACCAGACGTAATCATCATTCTGGAGCGCGTATTGTCTCCCGCTACTCCCTACTCCGCAGCTGTGCTCAACCCCGTCGCTTCGGCTCTTTGGCGCAGCTGCATCTAGACTTACACGTCATGATTGCTTCATCACATTAAGCGGCACAAGTTGCCATCAAAGGCATGTCAATCTCATTATTTCTAGAAACTGTCCCAATCATAGTGTACAAATAAGTCTAGCGCCAGTGGGGTTTTGGTATCTGCCGAGAAGCCTCGGCGCGTCTATCACTCCCCTTGGTTTTGTTCCCTCCGACACGCTGCCGTGCCCTGGTCAAATTAAACAAAGGCTCCGTTTAACACCGTCAACTCGTATTCCCCCTTTTTAAGCCTGTTCTGACATCCTCCGACCCATCGTTCGTTTCCGCGAACCTCGTCCTCGTGTTGCCGTGCAAGGCATTTACAGCTTCTTGACAATCTCAGCCCACTTGTCGGTGGAGAAGGACTTGGGGCGCTCAATGGGAGCACCAACAGCGCGGTCGATAATCAGCTGGGGCAGGACACCGATGGCGCGGGAAACACCAAACAGCACGGTGTAGTAGCTAGCTTCAGTCAAGCCGTAGTGCTGCAGAAGAACACCGGAGTGGGCGTCGACATTGGGGTAAGGGTTCTTGGTCTTGCCGTGCTCGGTCAGGACACCAGGAGCAATCTTGTAGACCTGGCTGACAAGCTTGAACATGGGGTCCTCAGGCATCTTGGCTGTAAAAGAATTAGCTTATATACTTGAAAAGAAAATAACCTTTTATATCCCAAACGTCCAAGACGCGTGTGAACATTACGTACCGAGACCAAACTCGCGCTGAGCCATGTATCGGGGGTCAGTCTTGCGCAGAACAGCGTGACCATAGCCAGGAACAACGCGACCAGCATTGAGGGTAGACCACAGGTAGTCAGTGATCTTCTTGTCAGAAAGATCATCACCAACAACCTTCTTCATCTCGGTGAGCCAGAGAAGCACCTCCTGGTTAGCCAGGCCGTGCAGGGGACCGGCAAGACCGTTGAGACCGGCGGCAAGAGAGAGAAAAGGTGAGCTGAGGGCCGAGCCGACCAGGTGAGTGGTATGGGCAGAGACGTTGCCACCCTCGTGGTCAGTGTGGATGGTCAGGTAGAGACGGAGCAGCTCTACGAAGTCGGCATTATTACCGAAGCCCAGCTGGTTGGCGAAGTTGAAGGAGTAATCCTTGTCCTTCTGGATGGGAGCAACCTTGCCACCCTTGAAGACGTTCTGGTAGATGCGAGAAGCAATATTGGGCAGCTTGGCAATGAGGTCCATAGAATCTTCAAAAGTGTAGCCCCAGTACTCCTTCTTGTTGACACCCTTGGCGTAGGCCTTGGCGAAAGAAGAGGTGTGCTCGAGAGCGGTGACGGCCAGAGAGAACTGAGCCATGGGATGAAGGTCGGTAGGGCAGTGGTCGATCAGCTCCTCGACGAACTTGGGGATGTCGGAACGGGCAGCCCACTCAGCAGAGAGATCGCGAACCTGCTGCTCGGTAGGGACCTCGCCAGTAAGGAGAAGCCAGAAGAGACCTGCGAATCCATCGTCAGACACGACATTTTCCGTTCAAAGCTCATTGTATCTGCAGCGATCGACTTGCCTTCGGGAAGCGGCTCCTTGCCACCGGGAGCCTTGGGGAGAAGCTCCTGGCACTCAGGAATAGTCTTGCCACGGAATCGGATACCCTCCTCAGAGTCAAGGACGGAACCCTCCCAGACGAGGGCCTTGATGCCACGGGCACCACCATAGACCTGGTCAAGGGTGACCTTGTCAACGACCTTGGAACCGTGCTCCCTGGAGAAATTTTGTGTTAGCAAATGCTAGGCGCATGCCATATATCCCCGTACCCAGCTCGCTCGAGTCCCTGGAGAAGTGAAGCCTAGAGCTTCTAGGGGCGCAGAGACATGGTCGGCAGGTTCGGTGCTTACTTTCGCAGGGTCTTGATCTGCTCAATCTTCTCGGGTAGGAGCTCGGCGAAGCGCTCCTTGAGAGTCTGCTGGGTGAGTCGTGTTAGTGTACGCGAATCCACAGCAGCGCCATCTCTGATAAATCAAGCATACCTGGGTCTTCGCCGAGTAGTAGCGGGCGCCATTGAAGGCTACGGTCCTGCCATTGAAGGCTTGGGACTTGAGCGAGGCCCGGAGGGCAGAGTTGCCAAGGCGAGAAACGGAGGCCATTGTATGACGACTGTGGGAGATGGAGGTGGGTAAAAAGAAGAAGAAAAGACGGAAAGTGAAGAGAGGAAGGAGAAACGGATAATTATTTGGGTATGGGTCTACCGGAAGTAAAAAGGCCGCGGGATGAGTGCCTGGCGTCTCAAGGCTAATTAGGTTCCGTCGCGTTTGGTGTCTCGGCAGGAGCAGAACAGCGAAAGAAAGGAAAAAAAAATTATTGCTGCGCACTACTAGCATGGGCCGGCGATCCCTGGGGCCTCGGAGAGCGCGGGCCCTTGCGTTCACGTCCATGTTGGGTCAAGTGTCTGGCATGGGGTGGCTGTCACCTAGGAAGCCCGGCGGAGAGGCAACGCTCACCTTGGCCAACTTCGGGGTACATGGCCTTCATCTCAAGCTTGAGCTTCCATCGATGTTTTCCCCCGATCGGCCCCAACGCGCGCAACCGGCGACATTGCCAACGCAGCACGCAGCGCCGGCAGTATCCATGTCTTTTTCCTTGCCAGATCAAGCCTCGTTGATGGCATACCAATTCGACACTCTGTGCCAAGCCGTGCACCTCGGTATTGCCTTCAACTCGGGAGAACGGAGCACTAGCTTTTGGGTTCCTTCCATGCCTACCGAGTACTACATGTATGTACATCTACCCCAACAGCTCCGTGATTCCGACGCCATCGGGCCCACTGGCGGGGCTCCGCTTATCTCTGCAGCTGAGCACGAGAACCAGTTGACGTGGGCACGAGAACCTGACACGGAGCACGAGAGGTACCTACCTAGGTACCTAGGTAGGTGGGGGGAGTAGTCTTTATTATCGTTAATCCTATTGCACAGTCTCTCCAATCTGTCTGGCGTGGCCCAGGTTACTATTGGAGACCACAGGCAACTCGAACAGCAAGGCCAACATGTAACACCAACTAAAGGACCGATGACGGATCCGAAGTGGAAGTGGTTGTCGGCCCCAGATCAATGCCAGGTGATATACCAATGGCGCAATCATGACTACAAGCCCCTGGGCGTACAAGCTGTGACGGAGTAACTGTTCCTGCGAATCTGTTACGGGCCAGCGGCTGCAACGTACTCTCTGCCACTCCATAACACGTTAACTGGTAATTGAACTAATCATGGTTTGTTCGACGGCCTAGTATCGTGGTCCGCCCAGTATAAACCGACCGAAGCCAACCCTCCTCTTCTGCAGCGTGTGCCACTCCCGCGCACACTGCCGGTGCATCAACCGTTACAGGTTCCTCGACCCACAACAACTTGCAGGTGCCTCGGGAAAAGGCAGTCACCCGGAGCTGGAGTCGTTAGAGTCGTCGGCCAAAATTGACTTCGAATATGGAGCTGTGCATGGGCGGCCTTCCGCAAAGGCCCGGCCATGCCCCGGCAATAGAGTTGTTGCTGTCAAGTCCAAGAATACCCTACTGAACCAGCGGTTCATGGCTCAACAAACCGGAGGAAACGAACTGCTGCCGAACAATCCAGAATAGAGAGCCAGGGGCTTCAGTTCAGTTCTTTGTTGGGAAGATTCGAAGGCATACGGAGCACTCTTCCGTCAGCGAGCGGACCACCCTCACCTTGTCTTGCTTGGCCAATTTCGCTTCCCAGGCTCGGTGGCTGTGGATTATTAGACTTGGCCCCTTTGCTTCGTTTGGGACACACTCCTTACATAATAACTACCTAGTACACAGTCTTCTCCCGGCATTCACTCCGTCATGTTGCAGCACTAGCCAACAAGTACTCCGTATTCCCGTGCTCTAGTGCGTATGGCATCTTACGTATTTTAGCCCATGACGGAGTGAGCCGTAACAAATTAGTAGTCGGTTAGCCGCGGGAACAGCCGAGTCCATCAAAACTAGACCTTCTCGGACACAAATTGCACCACTAGATTGATAGTGCGTAGTTGGTGTTGATGATATAACGTGATTCATCTCCCACAGTTGCTTTGGTTCTGTCTCCTTGTTCGTGTGTAATGGCTTGAAAATCGACTTTATTTCTATTGAGTCGTCTTGTCAGAGGCGGCGGGCGGATGAACGCTACTTTTAAAACAGAGCAGGCCTTGGAGCCAAAAGATGCGCCAGTACAAGCGGCTGCTTGTATTGCGTTCAATGTTGACCTTGCATTGACTGACAAGACCTCTGTCCGGCCGAGCCTCACACAAGCTGCCATTGACATGGAGTCAACAACTTTTCGTTGACATTGCTTCGGCTCATAGTAGAATGCGGCAGCCATAACACACGAGGGTCGCCTGAAGATACCAAGACCCAAGCTAAGCGGTAGGAGAACCAGTCTCGCCCTTAAGCAGGTCGTCTGGCCAGTGGGATAAGTTTCAAATGCTTATTTCTTAACATATATGTCGTGGTTTTAAAGAAAGGGTTAAAAGTCAAGCATCTTGATGACCATCTTAAATGAGTGAATTCCATCTATAAACGCAGCTTAGCTGCGGTGACAAATGCAAGAATCAGGAAAACATTGAACGGTCAAGGTGTTAAATACACCTATCATGAGGGTTTTCACGGCTTGGAGGGCTACGCAGGCAGCTTCCCACCTGACCTAGTAGGCACGGGTGCCCAGCATCCGAAAGTAAAGGATGCAGGAACCAACAGGAATCATACCGTAACGTCATCAATGTCGGTGACCGTAACACATGCTTGTTAAATCGGGTTTCATTTTCTTTTTCTGTATCTAGGAGATCTGTGACTTCTCCCAGTGCCGTGGATGTGAGTATGCCGTGAACAAAGTAAAGCCGATGAACAGACTAGAACTCCAGACCTTGGTTCGGCCACTAGCAGACAAAAAAAGTCAAAAGGAGCACTTGAGTTGCTGTGAACACATGCTGCCGTCAACTATTGACCAATCGGCGCTCCCAAGCAGGGCGCTACCTGACCGCGGTTCAAGCTCTGTTTTTGTTTCGGGGGCTGTTCAAATGCTGTGGCTGGTACCAGCAAGAGCCACGCGGACTTTGACTTTGCGCCGGAGAGGCACTCCAGGAATGGTACGTACCGCCTTGCCAATGCCTCGCACCCCACGCCAGACACGCATTGGCTGCTGCAGCAAGTCACGTTTTTTGGCTTTTTTCTCGCACCTGACTGGCCCTTTCCTGCTTTGAGCGCCTGCTGGGTAGAAAAATGCTCCTCCCCTGTCCTGTGCCTTCTTTCGCATCCGCATCAAATTTTCCCTCCTTCATTATCATTTCCATCCAAATCCATCGTCGCGACCCAGACATTATCAGCCGGATTTCGAAATCATCCTGATACTCCCACTTCCGACAGCATATTTGCGTTCCTCACGCCTCGACGACTTTTTTTCCGCTGTTCGCTTTCTGCTTTTTTTTTTGGCCCACCACCTGGCTTGATTGTCGTACTAAGCAAAAAGAGAGTCCCTTCTACCTTACTGACCAGCCATCTGTGACCACGTCGCGCCTTCTTTTCATCACAGTAGAAGCCGATTTTGATAATCCGTGGTGCACACTTTTCGCCACTATAGGGAGGTCGTCGCGTACTCTGTCTCTTTTTAATATCAAATCCACCACGTACACCCGACGCGTTTCCGCCTGGTCGTACAATATTTCGAGCCTTGTAAACTCTTCGTTTCGTTGATATTGGCCTCTCAATTTGCTGTAAACGAAAAGAGAACAGCCAGGCGTCAAACCATCCGATAGATGTAGGGGCTTGTCGTGTATCTGCTCCTCATTGCATTCCGATCAAAAAGAGAGAAGAGAGTTCACAAGAGAGGTGATCAGCTTCCGTTTCCTTCCAGTGGCGGCGCTCGACCGCATCACTGCCCTTAACTTTCGCAATCCTCTAGAAAGTGGTTCTCGCGCAATTCTGCATCGCGAACGTGCAAAAAATCATGGCGTCCGCAGTAACAGACTTGGAAGCCGGCCTTCAGGCCATGCTGAATTTGAAGCCGCCCGGTGTTTCTGGATCTCGTATCACTAGTCTAACATCACTCTGCGTCGCCAACATACAGGTATTACCATTCCGTCACCTAATGCTAGTTGTTCGTCGTTTCCGTTTCCCCTCATGAAATACTAACCACAAAACGGCACAGTCTGAATCCGTACTTATTCAGAAGATCTATACACACTTCAAAAAGGCGCCTGGAACACACAAGTTGGGGGTTCTCTACGTAGTAGACTCTGTAACCCGAAAATGGCTCGAGCAAGCAAAAGCTCAAGGACAAACAGTAAACAGCTCTGCGCCAGACGGTACATATGCCGCCGGGGTACACCGAGTGACCGAACTGATGCCCGTATTGATGAATGACATTCTCCAAACCGCCCCAGAAGAACAAAAGGTACGCAAATTTTTGAGTCTGCAAAAAAGACCTTCACCGAGAAAACCCCCCCTACGCATCTCTTCATGAACAACTACAACGGTTGTTGGGTTGTGACAATGCTCGGATTGTTGCCAAGAAAACACCACAGCTAGAAATGAGACTGCGCTGCCCTTTTCGCAGGCACTGACATTATCACATCCACTTCGGTCATCGAAGCAGTGCATCATCCATGGAGAAAATCGCGACCTGAACAGTAGCTTACCGTACACTCACCTTGTAGGAGAAAATTAAGAAGCTCTTAGACATCTGGGAGAAGGGTCAGACCTTCCCCACCCAGATGATTGAGTCGTTCAAGGCGAAGTTGACCGCTCCCTCGACTAGTATGTTTTTCCCCTTGAATATTCGGCGCTCTTGTTCAGAAGTGTTCGTCGTGAGGCTTCGATCAATCCTGGTCTGGCCGATACACGAAGTGACCATAGAACACCTTGTTTCTAACAAGATATGCTTCTCTCAGAAACCTCGACAACTCCCCCCGGCAGCCCACCAGCGTCAGCCTTGGCTGCTTTGCAAAGTCACATTCCCGCCTCAGCTGCACCAGCTCCAAATGGATCTTCTATATTGGAAGCCCTTGCGAATATGGCCAGGCAGAGTTCAGCTCCCGGTAGTGCCAACAATAATGCTTCCAACCCGCCGGCACCAGTAGCATCAGCATCATATAGCATACCGCCTTCAGCCCTTCCGCAGCCTGTGTCGTCCTCGACGATACCGCAACCGCATCATCAAGCACAGCCATCGTACCCCCCGACATCACAGCCCGTAACCATGCCGTCCCTCCCCTTCTCACTTCCTCAGGTGGCCGGCCAAACCCCAGCGTTGCCTAACAACGCTAGTAATCCTCCCAATCCTTATGCTGCTGCAACCCCAGCTGCTCCTGGTGTTACCGGTGGAGCCTTAGATCCGGCTGTGCAGCATCAGATTATGTTGATCAAAGCCCTCGCAGACCAAGGTGTTCCATTTGATAAAATTCCTTCTCTAATCCAGAGCATGACAAACAACAATAACACTGCCGGCAACAGTGCTGCAGCTCCCCATACCGGCTTCCAGCCACCTGTTCCAGCGGCACAAGGGACTTTTTCCACCAGCGGTCAACAACCTTGGGGTGGCCCTGCTCCCGTATCTGGCGATGGGCGTGACCGGGCATATGAGGACGGCATCAGGTCGCCTAGATATCGTGGCCGATCCAGGTCTAGGTCTCCTGATCGAGGCTGGGGTTCTCGTGACTCCCCCCGTGGCGGACGAGGTCATGGACGTAACTCTCCCCCAAGCGGTCGTCATGATCGGGACCGCAATGGTCGTGGAGGAAACGACTACCGTCAGCGTAGCCCTCCAGGTCGCCGTGGCCGAAGTCCCACTCCTCCCGACAGTCTTCCCCATGTTGAACGATGGGTTGACTATGATTCCAGTGTGCCGTCGGGTCACATTAAAGTCTACAGTCGAACCCTTTTCGTGGGTGGTGTAACGTAAGTGTTTAATTTACTCAAGTCGGGTGGTTCCAAAAAGCTACAGAATCATAATCTAATGCTCTATATGTAGATGCTCCGAGGCTGAGCTTCGGCGGGTATTCAGCCAGTTTGGCACTGTTCAGACTTGTATCGTCAACAAGGACAAGCGACATGCATTCGTCAAGATGCTGACCCGCAAGGACGCTGCCGCCGCCAAAGAAAGCATGGAAGATAGTCGCAGTAGCGAACTTCCACTAAGGGTACGTCGCACTTCACATCACCGTCCTTTTTTTTTTTTTTGGTTATTTTTTTTCGTGGAATTTGGCCATGCTGACTATGTTTTCAGACCCGTTGGGGTGTTGGTTTTGGTCCCAGGGACTGCAGCGATTACGCGACTGGCATCAGCATCATCCCCATCCATAAGCTCACCGAGGCGGATCGTAAATGGATATTGACTGCCCCCTATGGTGGCAGCGGTGGTCGCCCCATTGAGTCTGGTCTCTCTGTCGAAGAGCCCGACATCGAAATCGGCGCAGGCGTCTCATCCAAGGCCATTAGCCGTCGTATGCAAACCGACAAGGGCGGCAGCAACGGACCCAAATCTACCAGAAACCGTGAGGACGACACGGGCAGAGGCGGCCGTCGCGGCCGTGATCAAGGAAACGGCGGCGGCCAAGGCATGGCCTCTGGGTTCCCGTTTGGAATTGGAACCCTGCCTAATGGAATGCCGAATTTCCCTTCAGGGTTTCAATTCCCCGACCCGAGTGGACGCTGATTATGGTGTTGTCGCAAAAATTTGTGTGTCGTGAGATCTTGATACCCAGGGACAATGGTGGTACGGGGGCGGATGGAAATGTATACTTGGAGTGTTGGGAGTCTTAATGAGCAGTCGTAGCTGCGAGCGTCGCCCTTTTTTTTGCCTAGGGAAATGTATGGGGTGAATTAATTGGTTAGGGGATTCATCGTTATTCAGTGTCTCAAGGGCCATGATAGCTATTAGACACGTTGCTCAGAACTTTTCCTACAGTTGTGCAGTGAATGTTATGTAGCCTGCTCGTAGGTGTGGATGCTTGCCGTTGTTACATGTTGAATGGCTTGAATACCGTGCGACGCAGAACTAGTGCTCAACATTATATTTCTACCAGCTGTCTCGTTGGGTCCGCGGCTACACTCGGCATACAATCGCGACTCGTATATTGCAAACCAAACGACACCCTTTGTTGAAAATATGTGGTTTATATTTTGATCTTGAAAGACTTAGAGACAGCCACTTGATTCGTGCGTCGTGTGAAAGAAAATAATCAGACGACTGGCATGAGTTCTCATCGTGTGTTTTTTTGGTTCGTGGCTACCCTATATAACCATAGTCTTCTGTGGTCTATGCGCCATATGGTAGTGCGCTTTGGCATTTGACCAAGCTTGCATTGTCTTCGTAAATTGATTGGTGGGCTAATTTACTCTCCATTGCGTGCCTTTAACTTTGGTAGACGACTGGTAAGAGAAAGGGATTGGGGGTTGGTATGTTTATGTGCATCTTCTCAAGACTCGGGCAAGTATTTGCTTGTTGCCCCTCTAGTATCTGCCATGTATGTAGCTCGCACCCGATAAATAAACGGCTGCAAAACAACTAGAATTGCAGCCTCGAACGAGGCACTTGCCACGAGATCCCCCATCGGTCTGCGACAATGTCGGGCATGGAAAAACATGCACGTCGTCGCGATTGGACCCGCAGTGCCCTGATGAACGCAGTACCATGTTGGATGATAATATCAAATTAAAAACATACGTCATTGTTTGTCCCTCCCTTGCTTTAAAATCGTGAACTTTGGCGCAGCCTCCGGTTCCGGTGGACAATCCTCAGCCACGTATCACGGTCGGCCAGCAGGGCGGATCGAGCGGCGACAACGGTCGGAAGTGACGTTTTGCCAGAGTCATTTTCTTCGAATCGTGCTCCGTACCAGTGCCCGAAAGGGACATGGGAATCTCCGGTCTATCCATACGTAAACCGGGTAGCGAGAAGAATCTTAAAAAGAGGCCCCAAAAAGTCCGGTGGACACGAGCCGGTTGCACCAACCAGAGACAACGGGAACTGCGGAATCCACGGGCCTCGCCTTTGGTCGGCGATTATTCTGACCGACTGACCGCAACCAGCTCGGCCGGTTTATCTCGTCCCAATCAATACATACCATTTCGGAGGGGCGTGCAAGTTACAAGGACGGGAATAAACAATAATTGATCCATTCAATGAAGGCGCCTCGTTTCCCAGCCTTGCCGGCAAGATTTCCCGCACCCCTTTTGCCTAGTGTTTTCACATCTTGGAAGCACAAATCAGGGCCACTTTATTCTGGAGAAACCTCTCTGAAACTGAATCAAATGGTGATCCGGGAGCGAGTGTTGGAAGGAAGATTCAAACATAATTCGGTAGGGCTGCGTCGTGAAACTGGATGAAACGAAAAATGAAACCATGACAATTAGCAAATCCAGGTACCATTCGTACGGCCTGGTCACTGGTGACTGGACTCGACATGCCAGCCACCGGAGTATCCTATCTTTTTCTTCGATGTGTGTGGAACGGCCATGGTGTTTCAAGGCTCACTGAATGTGGCGCTCGGATGACTTTGTTCGAGATGTATGAATCCCTTGGTTGTCTCCTGGTGACATCTTCTACTAGGTCCGTGAGCGTTTAACGAAACATACCTGTGCGGCGCGGTCCACCTTATCCCTCATCCTTGCCAGATCATGGCATATCGGAAAAGTAAGGGCTTATCTCATTCTAGTAGAATGAGCATCAACTGATCGCTAGACCGCGGACCTTTATCATCAGTTACCGGCTGGTTTTGTTGTTTTCAGTCCTAGGGCCAGGCTCGTCGGCAATAGCGGCAGAGAACAGTACGTGGAGCTTTGCCATATTTGTTGTTGCCAACGCTCTCTTGTGGCTAGGCTGAACGGAAACTGGAGCCTCATCAAAATTATCCTGCATTGCATATCGAGGTCCACTGAATCCAGCGTTTATTATTGCCGAGACATGTGCATGGGGTAACGGGTTACTCACGACAACCGTTCTATCAAGCCACCAAGTTTCAATCGAGCCGCCAGTGCGCCGATGGTGGAACCCTCTAGACCCATGCCACTATTCAACGCGCGATGGTCGTGAGGAAACAGATGGTCTGGTCTTGTTCCATGCCTGGCACGCCGGCTAATATGAAGACAGGTGATCTTTCTGCTCCGTAGCTATTTTAATCGATGTGAGGCAAGGGAAACAGGATCCTGAAATAGGTCATGATGGAGTGCTTTCAGCTGAGACAACGGGGAAATCAGAACGTTCCCGGCTTTTACAGCAGAACTAATACTTCGTCCCCACGTATAAGTAAAGGACCGAATATTCATGCGCCGCAGTGGAACTCAAATGTAGAATGATGCCTCGAGAAGAACCATAGTGCCTAGGTTACTTTTGCTCGAGCACCTGCGCAAATGTGATGATGGTTTCTAAACAGAGCGTCAGCGTTACTTTCCTGTCTCGTCGCGTTGTCTTGACTTTATGCCAACATTTGACTTTCCTAGCGGCAGGTTGTTTGGCGGTAGGGGCAGTAGTCATTAATTTGAACGCCAAGGCAAGCGGGACAAGTGCGAATTGGCAAAGCACTGTGTTATTCTCCGATACGCGATTTAGCTCCCGTGGAGCATGTCTGGATATTTTGCAGCGATGGAGAGATAAAAGATGGTTCATCTACATATGTTTTGGACCTCTGCACTAGAGTCACGGGATTGACATATGACACGGCATTCACCACCTTGGCATGCGTGATTGAGATGTGGTCCATGGTTCCTTCCAGTTTATATCATCTCGCCAAAGGGCACCCGACTGGCGAGCATAACGTGGCATTTGCATTGAGATTCAGTACCGCAACCCTGAGCCGCATTACTTCATCATCTATTTTCTGAATCCTGGGGCGTATGATTTTGCGCATAGCTAGCTGAGTGACTCGAGCTACTGGGACCAGTGCGAACCCTGCTTTCCCATCTTGCATGTTTCCCCCTGTATCAGGATTTGGGTTTTTTTTTGTGTCATCCTGACGATCTGGAAACGGCATCAAGGCTTTCCGCAGAGCAGGCCGAATTAACTTTGTCCTAAATTTGTGTCTACCAGTGGTATGATTTACTTGTAACACACACCATTGCAATTTCTCATATGCTTGGTTACGGATTAAAAATAACAAGCTTAGAAATTCTGCTAACAGGTACGGCTCTAGTTCGATGTAGCCAGGTCACCAAAATTAATGCAATCCTACATCTGGCACTGGAACACACTCCCAATCCAAGTTGAGAAGATAAAATACCCCAGATTGTTTGTCATCCCGCTGGTATTTGACATCGACCCAAATGCGCTCGCTGAGATGCTAGGCCGCAACTTGGAATAATGCTGTCGAGCGAGACTCACCAAGACGTCCCGCCTCACAGAGTTGTTGCCCCCATCTTTCTGCTCAACCTTTGGGCGATAGGATCGGACAAACCGGCCAATGTACGATGATCGATACGGCCTAAATACTGCATAACAGCTTCACCCGTCTCGAGAAGCTAGGGAGGCCCTGGCTCCTGATATGAATGATGGATTGCGCTGTGACGTGGCATTTTAGGGCTTACATAACTTGAATGGCAGGCTGAAGTCTTCAGCACGGAGATTGACTACCAGTTTTGCTCGGAGCTGGAAGCCTCCCCTTACGAATAGCTGTGCGTGCGCGGTCAACTGGGTATACAAATAGAGGTTGATATTGAAACAAACTCTTGGAGCGTCACAAGCACAGCCCGGAAGGGCCCTGCATTTGCTAGTTACGGAGCCGAGAAGCCCTTTTTATTCTCTGTTTCTGTTTCTACGAACTGTGATGGAGAGGCTGAGTCGCCAATGGGTACGGGTCTTCGAATGACGGGGCATTACAAGGAAACCGAGGACCACTTTACCCCATATAGACATGAAATGGTCTTGAAAGGGACATCTCCGTATGTACATACGTACATACATTGTACAGTACTACATGCACACAAAGAGACGGGGTGTATCAAGAAATGCCTCGGGGCCCACGCACGTCCACGCGACCAAATGACACCGATGTTCTGTCGGTCAGAGAAAGTGGACAGCTCTACCTGGCAAATTGCTTCTATGATACGGAATACGGCTCGGCTTTTGCAAAAGAGTGAGTGGTTTTCACAATGCTAATCGGGCTGGGAATCATTGCCACAAGAGCCTGGAATAGAAACCAAAATCCAATCGACGACAGAATTACAACACACCTCTATTCCCTGGCCAAGGTCCAAGCAGTCAAGGAATTATCAATAGGCATGACCGAGTGGTTTGTGGCAACGACGGCTGGTGTGGACACTGTCCGAATGGCGAGCCGATAGCAGCGGCCGGGCGGCAAGACGGCAAAGATGGCCAGAACCACACCAAGCGGTGGCCAGGAAACGCGATTCATTTACGCCGATAGATTGTCATGCAGGGTTCTACTTTGCCATCTGGGAGGGACCCAGTTCTAACAGCACTAGAAGAACAGGAGGTCCGGAAGGAAGACGCAGAAAAAACGCTCATTTTCTATGGAAGAATTTGCGGTACCCACTGCGGGAGCCAGAAAAAAAGTCGTCAAGCCATCCCCAGCATACATGCAGGGCTCGACCGAGAGTATGTACATATGATTATGAGTTACCGGATTTGTATCCCAATGGATAGCCAGACTAGATTGCGTGAGAAGCTTGTACTGGATGGCACCCTGTACATGCGTGGTG